ATAATGGAGAAACTAGCATTTTGTTGAAAATCATGTGATATCACAAACATTTATACATTACTTGTGAAAATAAGTCATAGTTCAATTTTATTTGGGGGGGGGGGGCGGCGCCCCCCCCCCCCCTGCAAGCCCCCCCCCCCCCCAGTACGCCAGTGATATTCAATATAGTGGAGGCTGTTAGGGCTAAATATGGGTTGTTTGGTGCAGATTCCTCTAAAAGCACCAAATTTGGCCCAGAGGTAGTTTATACCATAATTTTACGATTTCTTCCGGACGCCAAGAAGGGCATCCTCTGGGTATGCCATATTGGGCAAATCCAAAATGGCCGCCATCTGAGTTAAAGGTCAAGCGTAGTTCCAAAAGGAAAAGCGGTTGTATGATAATAGTTTATATATTTATGGGGTTTTGGGGGTCAGAGAATCTGATTTTGATGTTCTTTCATCGATTTGAGGTCTCCTAGGGTCTGCCATACTGGTCATATTGGTCAAATCCAAAATGGCCGCCATCTGATAGTTACACATTAAGTGTAGTTACGAAAGGAAATGGGCTAGTATGACAAAAGTTTATATATTTATGGGGTTTTCGGGGTCAGAGAATCTGATTATGATATTCTTTCATCAATTTGAGATCTCCTCGGGTCATACTGGTAATATTGGTCAAATCCAAAATGGCCGCCATCTGATAGTTACAGGTAGAAGTTTCAAAAGGAAAAGAGCTAAAATGATTTTAAAAAATTATATAGTTAGGGGGTTTTCTGGGCAGCGCTCAAAATACACGGGGGCGGTGGGCGATTCGCCCCCGTGAGCTACATAATCGCCCCCGTCAGGTTGCTCACGGGGGCGATTGCAAAATTAAAAATCGCCCCCGTGGAATTATAAAATAAAGATTATCTTTTATGTTATAACTTTAACACAATATTGAGTTTCAATTTTTAACCTTAAACCAATGAAATGGAACTTAGATTAGCGTGCAAGATTTCTCGTTTTCCTATATTACCGATTCAGCTCGCAGTGCAGTGCCGCCGTCAGCAGTGGTTATAGGCTTACTGCGCCGTTAGTACACCCACACAAACTAACTTTATTTATTACCGAACAAAAAAATGAAGAAAGAGCCCCTCGACACCATAGGTGTAAGTATTCAGCCAGTTCCTCCCCCCCCCCCCACCAATATAAACTTTAAAAGTGATTTTTTTTTTTCTTTTAATATGATACCAGTGAAATACAGATCTTGCTGAAATAGCCTAATTTTCCGGGATTTTTCCTCGCTTTTTAGTAAATTATACTTTTTATGCGTTTGTTGGAGAATGACATATATCACAATATACAGTCAGGCAAGAAATGTGCTTATTTACTATTTAGAGGCCGACATGTCAGGTCCCGCGGAACGGCGGGCTTGGGGGCTCAAGCCCCCCTCCCACCCCCACACTTTTGAAAAAGTATATTAAAGAGAATTAAATAGAAAGAAATAGAAAAGAAAGTATGCTCATGTAACCGTAATTAATTGCCCATACCCCTGAGCTAATTCCGGGGGCTCTGCCCCCTGGACCCCATCTTGGGCCCTAAGGCTGGCCCCTGGATGCTAATCTGACCTTAATTGTAATGCCTAAAACCCCTGCGCTTCCGGGGGCTCCGCCCCTCGGAGCATACGCCAATTAGTGACCTGCCAGTGTCATGAATATGGTATTAAAATATGCTCATCTGACCGTAAGTACGAAGCCACGTACAATCGATTACAACAGTAATTGTGGGGCCGATATCACGAGTATGCCTTCATAGAATAAAGGTTTTAAAGAAAATATTCACTTCTACTTTCAAAAGGACTGGCCCATTTGCTTTAAAAAATTGTAGAGAGTTATCATTATGTAATTTCTAGAAAAAATGCCAACCACATGATTTACAATGAGTCTAAATACATTGATTTGCCGTAAAACAATGGGGGGACAGACTGCGCGGATAGCAATCCGCACGGATCGTCCCTCGGACGATCCGTGCGAGCAGAAAACCCGCATATTATGTCCGACGAACAAACGAAACTGGTAGGACAAACGGCGCGGTCACACCGGCCCTAGACTAATTCCTATAACCGGTCCATATCTATCGGCGAAACGAGCAAGTTCCTGATTAGTTACTCGTTACCATTACACTATGATTCAAGGTTACATAGGTTATACATTTTTAGTCGGAACCTAAATCATTCTACCAAAGTTGGGTACACTTTTTTTTGTATACGCATATACTGCATATACAAATGAAATTCAATAAACAAAATATGAGTTAGAATTGACTCATTAGCATTATATTATGTAGGCCAACAAAAACCATATAAAATATCATCAGATCTCGTTATGAATATATTTACATAATCAAGGGCATCCCGATTGTGGAATCTCTTCCCAGCTTAATATATCTTCCCCTGCACCAAACATTGCCAAAACCAGGAAAGATGTTAATGGGTATTTATTTTCTAAGTTGTAACCTTTTAATTCTATAATTTTCTACATTTAATTCAAGGTAAAAAGAGCCGGTTATCAGATGCTGGGAAAAGCACACTTAATGAAATATGAAAAAGGCACCGGTCAATGAAAAAGGGGCACTTATCAGAGGGATAAAGTCTTAAAGTGACATTTAAAAGAAAGGGAAGGGGCGCACTTATTGGAAAAATAAAAGGAGCACTTATCAGGAGGGGAAATGGTATTTGTAGGAAAGGGGCATTTCTCGCACCTGAAAAACTGGCACTTATTAAGAAGGGTGAACGAGGCATTTATTACAGAGGAAAAGAGGCACTTATCAAAGTAAAGGTGCATTTATCAGAGTCGAATAAGGGTATTTATAATATTGATGAAGGGGTCGCACTTATTACAAATGGAAAAGTGCACTTATCAGACGGGGACATCGCACTTATTAGAAAAAGGGGTACGTGTTAAAGTAAAAGGGGCACTTATCAAAGGTAAAAATGAGGACACTTATTAAGAAGGGGGAAGGTGTATCTAATACAAGGAAAAGGGGCATTTGTCAAAGTAAAAGAGATACCTTCATATTAGAGTAGGGGCACTCAGAAGTTTGAAAAAAAAGGTTATTTACCCCCTTCCCCCTCCTCCCGGAATGCCGAATCTGCAATATCCTGATTTGATTATGCTTTATCATAATGTATGTCACAATGAAACATTACAGTGTGACTTACTCAGAATATGGGGTTATCAAAACTAGTCATGATATCAAAGTTTTTAAAACGCTATTAAGCTGTCCATTGAAACAACTTTTCTTGATTAAATATAGGCCTATAATATTTATGTTGTCGTGCCACACACAGAAACGAAATGATTAGATAATGTGAATGATAAGGCATGTTATGCTATCCCAAATGATTTGATGTCTTGTTGCAGGATGTTAAAACCACTCTGTACAATCATGTACGTGTACACAGGCGTGTACACAGGGGGGGGGGGGGGGGGGGGGGTTAATCCCCCTTCATTTTTTTTGTATGTGTTTTTTTTTTTTAATTAAAACAAATGAAAAATGCTAATAGATGACCTAAAAAAGTTGACCTTACCCCCCCCCCCCCCCCACCCCCCCCCCCCCCCTTATTCAGCGGCTGGCTGAGTCGCTGCGATTTTTGTTAGGACAAAACAAAAAAAATCCTCTTACCCCCCCCCCCCCCCCCCCTCCCCGCTTATTCAGCGGCTGGCTGAGTCGTTGCGAAATTTTCGGCCCGATTTAAAAATGTTAACCCCCCCCCCCCTTTAAAAAATCCTGCGTACGCCACTGAGTGTACATGTATACCGTATAAGGTATTCCTCAAATGTGTATTAGCAATATTGGTTCATGGGCCACTAAAGGACCAAACCCCCTAGACACAATCTGAAATTAAGTATTTCAAGTTTGAAGTTTTATTTATCTTTCTTTCATAACACACATTACAAATATGACATGAATATAACAAATGAACAAAAATATGGCGTTACAATAGAAAGATGAGGTGACCTTGGTTGAAAGCAAGGCTTGTGGATTTAGGGTCCCTCATGAGTAGCTTAAATATGTTATGAGTATGTCCTTACAGAACAAAACTCCTGTTAGTAAGGACCTTAAGCTATCATAATGTGCTTGTTTGCCCATAGTTGTTGGTGGGCATAACAACTAGGTCTATTATCATGGTAACGGAGCAAGAACATTATACAAAAAATAAAAGTAATATATTTATGAAAATATATCATATCAAAGCGTTTGAAGCTATATAGACTCTATTGGATTTGACGAAAATGCATCAGTCATGCCCTGAGCACCTAGAGATTAATATCCCGTATCTCTGTGCAGCCGTACCGCTCCACCACTGTGCATTGTAAGTGCGTGGACCGTGAAAGAGACAGTACCGAAGCTGTGTCATCATAAAAATCATTTTTATTTCAGTTTCCGAAAGAGCATCAAAAATAATTTTTAAATGTCGAAAACCAATTAAATGTGTTAGGTATTGGCTGAGATATGACCATCTGAACAAATAGATTTCCTATAGGAACTCATTGTTATTTGCTCTGGCTCATAACATTACGAGCCAGAGCAATACAACACTGAGTTCCTATATGACATCTATTTATTCAGATGGTCATATCTCAGTCAATGCTTAACACATTCAATTGATTTTCGACATTCAGACATTTTTTTTATGCTCTCTTGGAAAGTGAAGAGAAATTCTATTTTAAAAAAATTATGATGTCACAGCTTCGGTACTTTCTAGGCGACACAGTTCTCAAAATTAAATCATCTCACCAAAAACTTTTGCTCGGCAAAGATGGCCTTAGATATTGGAAACGCCGGAGATAACAGCGTTGTAGTCAGGTTGGTTTAATTAAAATATCAATTCGACATAAACCAATATATATAGTGGTTGGTTTTGGTTGGTGAGCTGGTGTATACGGCAAACAAAGCGACGATAAAACTCTCCGATCGTCCAGGAGTAAATAAAAGTACTGGTATCATAAGTGGTATGCATGGCCAGATGCTACCTGTCATGCGGGCGCTTTAAAGTGCGGGCGGGTTATTAAAAGACCACCGCCTCACTTCGATTCGAACAGCAGACATCAACAGTTACGTGTGTGCGGAGATAGGGGGAGGAAGTACCGGACAGTTTCATCATTCTACGTGCTTGTACGTGTCACAAATAACAGATATGAAGATAAGGTAAGGAATTTTTTCTCTCCAAAATTCGCTGGTGTTCTTTTGTTCCTTCTTCATTTCCCATTTTGTCGATAATTCATATGCGATCAAGGTGCAAATGGGTAGGGCCTATGCACTTGGGCTAAAACACGAAGTATGCCATGTTCGTAAAGTAATCATATTTTATAATGCACAAATCTTTGTTGAGTGCCTCGTTATAAAATATTTCAGCTTTTCAGTTTTGTTTCTTTTATTTAACATGAAGAGAAAAATACAATACTTTAACAAAACATGGCATATTTACAAAATTGATATTCGTGAACGATTAAGACATCTACATAGCATACGTTTGTATGGCATTTACACTAAATCATTTCGAAATTACATTTGAAAAAGGGAATTTTTGACAAAGTGTCATTTATAATAAGGTAAAAGTATAATAATACAAAAAGCAGAGTATACAGACATAAACAATGAAATGATATGGATGATGGGTGTAAGAAAGAAGAGAAATAGGAAGAGAAGGTGAAGAATGGGGGTCAGAAGAAGGAGGAGAGAGAAAAGGAAGTTTTTAGAATAGAATGTTCAAGGTCGGAAGTTACAGTTGGTATAGTTGTGCATTATATATACGAATTCAATCATAATAATTTGATATGTTTTTTAAAGCTGCCACCGTTTTTAAGCTGTTTGAGATTCGGATCAATGGTGCTCCAGTAGTTTGGTCCTGTGTATGTTTTTTATTGGCGAAAACTGTCCTGGTTAGAGGAAGATGATAGTTTGTACGTGTTGCATGTCGTGTTTGGTATGTGTGCAGGCGCGTACGCAGGATTTTTTCAAGGGGGGGGGGGGAGGGGGGTTTAACATTTATAAATTACGCCGAAAATTTCGCAACGACTCAGCCAGCCGCTGAATAAGCGGGGGGAGGGGGTAAGGTCAGCTTTTTAGGTCAGCCATGGGAATTTTTTTTTTTCATAAAAAAAAAAATTTAAAAAAAATCCAAAGGGGGGGGGGGGGGGTTTAGGGTGGTTATTTAGGGGGGTTTACAAAAAAAATACCAAAGGGGGGGGGGGTTTAACCCCACCCCCCCCCCCCCCCCCTGTGTACGCGCCTGTATGTGTGTATAGCGTCACTTTTTGTAAAGAGTTCAATTATGGCCGATGGAAGTTGTGGAGTACATATGAATATTGACGTATATGAAATTTTCAATAGGATATTAGAACTAGTTTACAAGAGAAACCTAAAAATTTGGCTGTAACACAATAATTTTGAACTTCATTAAAAAACCAATCCTATCCATTTCCAAGTAAAATAACATAATAGGACGGTAAATAATATGTATTTTTCAAAGTTTGGTTAGTCCAAATGTATGTCCACCAGTGTCCACTTCCTTAATAATCAATCTAATATTACTCAAATTGTCACAATTTGGGGTTCACTGCTCCTCTATAACTGGTCACAAATCACGATACTTTTTCTGAAACTACACTCTGTGCTCTGGCCCAGCGAAAAGAATCTAAAGAAATGTAAAGGGTTCTTTAGTCTGTGATGATGCGTGATTACATAATCAACATTGTCGCGTCAAATGAATGTCCTCATCAACATACACATTATCAGGTGGTGGTGGTCATGATGTGAACAAAGAGAGGCTCTCATTATTAGTCCATCTGTAGTAGGGTCCATGATTGTACCATCTTCGAAGCCGCCAGGAGAAAATTTGTCTGGCATGTGCTTAACTGGATCTTCCTTGCAGATACGTAGATAAAAGGTTCCTGCCTAGCTGCAAACTTACTGGCCACTTTCAAAGGGAAATATGCTTTCGTAATGATAATTACTTTTTGCTACCACTCGTCTGTTAATGCGAGCAGTACACAGTGCTTACCTTTAGAAGGCAGGAGGTATCTTATCATTTTTTTTTTTATTCAGTTTGAGAGATTGGATTCCAATTCCTGGTGTTGTTCAACACAATTTGGTGTGGTCAGATATGAAGTACATGACAGAATCAAATTTAACACCATGAGTGTTCATGCCAAATGCAAAAGTGGTGTTAAATAGTGACACTTTGCGGGTGATGGGGCATATTAACACCGAAGTTTGGGGTTGAAAAATAATTCCAGTACTGGTGTCAGACAACAGTCAACACCTAACTTTGGTGTTGATTATTAACACCAAACTAGTGTTAAGTGAATTTGATTCCAATTTATGGTGTGGTCATATATGGAGTGGGCCTACTTGAAAGACTTAAATTCAACACTCCAGTTTTTGCAGTGTTGGATCATGATGAGAGTTGCCTTTCCTAATGATCGAAAATCATGATCAAACGACGATATATCTTGTAATTCATTTGAGATATCTTCCTCTTGTACTGTATGTAAAATGGACAAAAAGTATGAACGTCAAAATGTAACAATCGAATTTGGCGGGATGACATGAAATGACTTATCCTTCACTTCATCCGATCATTTCTTTACTCCGTGTGGAATGATGACATAATTAATCAAGAAAAAGTGTTTCAATAGACAGATTTGCGGTTTGTAAAAAAAACATTGAACTATAGGTAGTTTTTATAACCCCCATATTTAGATTAAATCACACTTTTATGTTTCATTGCGCCATACATATTTGTGTAATATCCAACTTTAAAATGTATATTGACTAACCCGTTCCCTATCTTGTTCTTTAGTATTTCAAAAGAGTTTTAGCATGGATGAAATGTATGACCAAAAATGCCCTCCAAAGTTTCTTTTTAAGTACGTTTTGGCTGGGTTACTATTAATCAGTGGCCCCGTATGTAAGAGAGTCAACCTAGCATTTGCACAAGCAGAAGATGTCCCATGACATCTCACACATTTTCAATGCCTGTTTTTCATCTTCTCTTGAGTTCTTTCTCTTACTTCACTACCGTCAGGCTAAATGTATAATCTATTGTGTCACTCTAAACCCCGCGCATGGTTTCATTTTGAGGACAAATGCAGCGATACAAAAATAAAGGAATCTGTCCCTTGTAAACAAAAAAAGACGCCATTGTATATTCAGCTGCACACACCACTGTATGTTCGGGGTTTCAAGAGGGAATAAATGCCGTCCGTAATATCATTCCGTTTTTTTTTTCAATTTGAAAGTCTAGTTTCTTTGATTGTTAATTAACCCCTATCCTGTGTATTTACAAGCGAACGATTTTAGTTATCAGAATCGATTTAATATCCCCTTTTGAATGGTTTGAAATGCCATCACATTTACATACACTAAACTCATTAAAATTTGACAAATAATAGCTTTGCAATTATAATCATTCTTTATCGGATGTCGTCTGCTTGAGCAGTATTGGTCCATTATGTGACGTCATTAAACATCTTTCTGGCGAATATCTCGTATTTCCCAGATGCTATAGAGGTGGTTGTATTTGTATTTGTATAAATCACCCGATATGTAGTTGACCTAAAACTTGTACGATGACCATCTGTTAGCTTTAATACTAGTTTCTAGTGATACATTAGTTGACATATTTGTGATTTTCTTTGAATTTCCCCTTTAAAACAAAATTATACACTACTCAACATGTTAGAAAGGTCGATTTTCTTCAACTCGAAAGACTAGACATAAAACATTCCAAGCCAAGTGTCCGCTACGCCTAAATCAATATATGAAATTTCTTTATCAAACAAGGATTATCAAGCACAAACGTTATTAAAGTTAATGATTAATAAAATAACAATAACATGTTTCAAAGTGAATAATTATTAATGAAATGAAATAGGTGCACTCTATCACGACTGTATCTACACGAGAATCCCCGAACGGGATAAATAGAAACTCGGCGGTGAATATGGACAAATTTGCCTAGAACAAACAAAAATGATTACAATAATATGCCTTTCTTCTATAGCGCATATCACATTATAATATAACGTCTCTATGCGCTTCCAAACCTTAAATTAGCAATAAGCCATAATTCTCTCCCTCTAATCGATGTGACTTTGGTGCCTAAAGTCTTGTTCAGACGGGGGCAAGTTACCCCAGGGTAAAGGTCGAGTTAAGAGCTAGTCGGGCTAAATATGGCGAGGTAGGTGGAAGGCTATGAGTAGTGGCCGTCTGAACGATGGTCGTGTTAGTATATGTACAAATGAATATGTTCCTATTTTAGAAGAAAGGCCTGTATGCTATGAGAATATTTTTGAATTATTCCCTGTCGATATAGCTGATGTTCATAAAGATATTTTTGCTTTAAAAAATAAGAAGTCTACTGGTGTTGACGGGATTAGTACCTTTGTTTTGAAACTGTGTGGGCCCGAAATAGTTCGGAGCATCACATACCTAATAAATAGGTCAATTAGTGAAGGTGTGGTTCCAACTAGGTGGAAAATAGGCAAGATAATTCCATTATTTAAGAAGGGAGATAAAGCTAATCCTGATCATTGTATATTATTCAGATAAAGACCCTTGTAATATTGAAAATGTTTTGAATATTGAATTGCATAAGTTATATTCTTGGATGAATTGTAATAAGTTGAAAATAAATTGTACTAAGACTGTTAGTATGCTGATAGGCACTAAATATATGTTGAACAGAAATAGTAGGTTGAACTTAAAAATTAATGAAAATGATATTGTTCAAGTTGACAAATTTAAATATCTAGGTATTTTTATTGATTGTGAATTAAAATGGAATGTACACACCGATGAATTATGTAAAAAGGTTGGAAAAATGATTAGTTTCTTAGGAAGGTTGCGTAACTATGTGAATGAGACTGGGTTAAATCTTGTATATAATTCTGTATCGCGGAAGTAAATTGTATAATGGATTGTCTATGCACATTCGACAATCAAGAAGTTTGGCTATATTTAATAAAGAAATAAAAAGTTTACTTTGAAATGTTATGACAGAGATAATATACACTGGAGGACTTGGAAAGGGGTAGCAGGAGGGGTTGGCAGTATCGAGAGGGTGGCGGGGGTGGTGAGGTTAGGGGGAACGATAAGGGGGGGGGTAGTGTATTAGTAAATTACTTTGATTTTTATAAAAATTGTATTGTATGTAAATTAATATGATTTTTGCTTTTGGACCCCATGGAAGAACAGGACCATTTTGAAAATGGTTCTGAAATGGGCTATCCAACCGTTTGTCTATACTTTACACATTTACTTACTTTCTTATCGTTTGAAATGTGTTTTATATGTATGTTTTTTAAAACTTGTATGTATATGTGGATTTCGGAAGAAAAAAACAAAACAAACAAAGCTACACCTAGGTGCAGGCAGCTACTTCGATCTACCCCGACTTGGACCCCTGTAAAGCAGGGCTCCCACTTAGCCGAGTTGGTACCTCGAGTTGTGGCGAGCTGGCTCGATCTTATGGCAAACCGTTTTATTATTAATGATATCAAGAAATCAATTCTTGACATCAAGAAATAATTTTACGTTGTAAAGCAATGGTAATTATGGATATCAAGAATTCGATTTCGTGATATCAAGAATTGAATTCGTGATATCAAGAAATATGTTTTAATGATAAAACTGCTTGCCATAAGATCGCACCAACTCGCCACAACTCGGATAAGTCGGAGCCCTGCTTAAATGCGTCGGCTTTTTTAAGCCGGCTTCGGAGGCGGCCTCACGTCTGCAATTTGAAGCCGCCTTGAGATCAACAAACCCCTGTATTAAAGGCAGGGCTCCCACTTAGCCGAGTCGGTGACTCGAGTTGTGTCGAGCTGGCGCGAGCTTAAACTCGCGCGAACTCGCTTGAAATTTACACAATTTTGCGATATTTGCATAAGTTATCTAGGACGCAATATCGAGTTACCTACGATGGATGAACGGGTGAACCGAGCGTATGGCAAGCCGTTTTAATATTTATTCATATTTCTTGATATCAAGAAATGAATTCTTGATATCAAGAAATATGAATAAATGTTAAAACGGCTTGCCATACGAGCGCATTACGAGTCACGCGAGCTCGGTGTGAGTTGCGATGTCCTGTGTACGACTTGTACCTATCTACTAACGAGTTATCAAGATCTTCTAACTAGTGATTAGAGTTTCTACGAGTCATATGCGATCAAGGGGCGGGAAATGCATCATTTTGGCCAGGGGCGGCCAAGGTACTTCCTTACTGGGGGACGGGGTGGGGGGGGGGCAACAACAAAAAAGGGCACTTTCTGGAGAAAAAAAAAGGACACCTTCAAAAGGAAATCTCAAATCTCAAATGTAATTTTTGTTAGACATTGGTATATACCCCTATATTGTGATTACATTATCAGTGATTATTTCAATATTTGTTTCACTCTGTACATAGTACAAGATATTGCTAAAGAATCATACTTTGCAGTTGGGTGTGATGGAAAATCAATTCAAATAAGATTTGTGACGTTGCACTGCGAAAGATTACATCTTTTAAAGAGGAAAAAACCCGATCCTGATGGGATTATAAGCACATTCTCATACCGGAAGACTGAAAAGACCTTTGAAAAATAACATAAGTATATCATCAATAAAAGCGAGTGAGCGTAGCGAACGAGCTTCATATAGTGGGAGGTGATGTTAGTCGCTTGAAATTAGGGGCGCGATTAATGATCAGAAGTAGAAAAGTAGCTCTTGTCATAGTACAAAGAGTAATTATCAGAGGTGGAAATGTGGCACTTTCACACCTTTAAAAAGAAGAACTCACCAGGAATGAAAAAGGGCACTTATGAAAATCGAAAATGGACATTTGTCGACGGAAAAGGAACCCCGATCTGATTATGAGAGGGGCATTTTTAGAGGTCACAGGGGCATTTATGAAAAGGGGATCAGGCCCCTATTAGAAAGGAAAAGAGTCACGTATCATTGTTAAAAAGAAAATTATCAGAAGTAGAAGGAGAACGTATCGCACTTGAAAAGTGGCAATGACCAGATATGAAAAGGAGCACTGATGGGAATTGAAAATGGACACCTATTGCAAAGGAAAATGGGAACTTGTCAAAGGAAAAGGGCCACTTGTCAAAATAAAAGGGGCACTTATGCCAATGAGGGGCAATATGCAAAGGATATTGGATTGAGAACATAGTCTAACTTGAGTTATGTGAAAGGGACAGTTGTCAAAGGAATACTATAATTGTTGTTTTTTTATATCATTTTTCTAAGCAATAAAACAAATACTTGCAATATCAACGTCAACAATGTTATAACAAAAATATTTTCATTTCTATTTTTATATTCTTATATTGTCTAAATGACTTTTTGAAAGTACATGTATGCAATTCGTATTTTTCAATGTACATGTACTTTTAATTTTTCCTATCTTACTTCTATTATTCAATATACTACACTATACATATTTCAATATTGACAAATAAATTGTAATTGTATTTTTTGTTTGAAATATGTAATAAGTCTTTTACATGACCATTTCAGCCATGGGGCTGCGACTCATGTTTTTAACAAAGTTAAAGGGGCACTTTTCCTATGTAAAAAGGGACACATTTCGAATACTTAAAAAAAAAGTAGGGGCACTGTCCCCACCCCCCCCCCCCCCCCCCATGGGGAGGACCGCATCTGATTTTGGCGCTCTCCAAAACAAAGATAGATGTCAGAAGCATATTTGCTAGATCTCCTGGAGGAAGAACATGCCTTGATCTTCTGGACAATGTTGTAGGCCAGCTGACGAATCATGGTGCGCCCGTAATGATCGCCCTACAGTCTGCTCATGCTCATGTGAAACTCGCTGTAAGTCCCCGTACTCGATCTAAACTCGCGTAAATCTCGTGGGCAACTCGACATGACTCGCAGCACGATCGTCGTGCTCGTATTCTACTCTTGGAAACTCGAATAGCACTCGCGTATACTTGAAGGTGGCGAGTTGATACGAGTTATGAAGAGTGCAGTGCGAGCTTGTTACGAGTAATGCGAGTATAATACGAGTGTAAGCGAGTTCACTTCGAGTTACAACGAGTCAGTGAAAATGTTCAGCGCATGGCTAGCACAATTCCCTAACACAGTAGCCCTACTAGAGGGTAGCGTAAGTTTACCGTGTGGATGCTCTCAACTTACACATGGGAGTAACTGTGACCTTTCACGAGCTATCTATACACAGAGTTTGGCCAACGGCCAACTTGATTTCACTGGGTCACATATTCTTTTGTTTTGTGCTTGCCCAACAAAGCAGTAGTCGCCATATTGTATAGGCCTATGTTGTTTTTGTTTCTATTACATTTGGAGGAATACAAAAAAATTACCCCCCCCCCCCCCATGGGGAGGACCGCATCTGATTTTGGCGCTCTCCAAAACAAAGATAGATGTCAGAAGCATATTTGCTAGATCTCCTGGAGGAAGAACATGCCTTGATCTTCTGGACAATGTTGTAGGCCAGCTGACGAATCATGGTGCGCCCGTAATGATCGCCCTACAGTCTGCTCATGCTCATGTGAAACTCGCTGTAAGTCCCCGTACTCGATCTAAACTCGCGTAAATCTCGTGGGCATCTCGACATGACTCGCAGCACGATCGTCGTGCTCGTACTCCACTCTTGGAAACTCGAATAGCACTCGCGTATACTTGAAGGTGGCGAGTTGATACGAGTTATGAAGAGTGCAGTGCGAGCTTGTTACGAGTAATGCGAGTATAATACGAGTGTAAGCGAGTTCACTTCGAGTTACAACGAGTCAGTGAAAATGTTCAGCGCATGGCTAGCACAATTCCCTAACACAGTAGCCCTACTAGAGGGTAGCGTAAGTTTACCGTGTGAATGCTCTCAACTTACACATGGGAGTAACTGTGACCTTTCACGAGCTATCTATACACAGAGTTTGGCCAACGGCCAACTTGATTTCACTGGGTCACATATTCTTTTGTTTTGTGCTTGCCCAACAAAGCAGTAGTCGCCATATTGTATAGGCCTATGTTGTTTTTGTTTGTATTACATTTGGAGGAATAAAACAAAATTACTATATAAAGTGTTTTGTATTGACTTACTTGACTTAATGGTATAGATAGGTCCACCTCTTGGGCGTTTGCCACGTACATTTCCGTTGAAAAGGATGTGGGGTATCTTTTTGGATTCATTCTGTTGATATGTCCAAAGTTTCTCAATATTTTTGTGGCAACCCTGTCAATGATGGTATTTTTCCATGTTCAGTTGTGTTCGTATTTGTGTGTTTCTCATCCTGTCAAGTCTGGTCACACCGATCATTCTCCTGAGGCATGCCATCTCCAAAGTGTGAAGTCTATTTTCATCAACCTTTTTTAATGTCCATGTTTATGCACCATGTGTCTATATATATCTATTCAAAAATATCAGAAATAATAATATGCTTCGTACACGAAAAAAATAATGATTTTCTTCTATATAAAACAACATATATAAATAATCATAATCTGTTCATTTCCTTTCGGACAGAGTGACATCGGTGCCAAGCACCGCGGCCAAAATAGCTAGCAATTTATTGTTAGCTGTGCTGATCCTCTTCGGGCTGCTGCTGTTTTTCCCCTGGGATCAGATGACAGTTCGAAATGCCAGCAAATCTATCCCTGGTTTTAGTGCCCCCAATCCAGGAAGTAAGTTAATATTAACATTGTAGTACACTGTAATCTTTAGTCTGTGATGGTGTCATCGTGAAACTCTCTTCTCGATTTTTGTCAGTGACTTACCCTTCTTTGTAAAATGTGTTCCCATCGCAGGTATTTGCTTTTTTTTTTTTTTGCCTCCTTCTGCTTTTTGAATTTCTTTACTGTACTGCTGTATCTGTTCGTTGATTACCATGATCAATGAGAAGGAATCAAATGTGAATTTCAATGATATTAATTGACCAATCAAATTGAAAGAAGTAGTAGGCAATTTTCGTTTCAGTTTCCAGAGGCGACGGCTTAAAATTATGTAAATGTTTAAAAGATCACGAGTTAAATCATTTATTTTAAGTGTACAAATCACCAATATGTATCTTTCTCTTGAATTGTAAGTCCCTATACAATGTTAACTTCGGCCCTTGGGCCAGAGTTGGGTTGTGCGTGATATACATTTAACTGTAATTTATTAACATCTTCATTATTATCTAATCATTGATATTATTGCTAGTTTATCGTGTTGAACTTCACAGGTTATTACAATACGCAGTCTATTGAAAAAGATAACGGCTCCCTTCTTCAGATAATGGAAGAGCCCACATCAACTATAGGCACGACAAATTTTACGTCGTTGCCGCGTGCTCTCTACCAAATGGCGAAACCGGTAACTATTGTCTGTCTGTTTGTTTGGGTTTGTTTGTTTTTACCACGAATTTTTAAGAGATCGAGTCCTATCCAGCTCATTTTCTTTGTACCATCTTCTATACCGCCAGGAGAAGATATGTAAGGCATGTGCTTAACTGGATCTTCCTTGCAGATATGTAGACAAAAAAAATCCTTTCTAGCTGCAAACTAACATGCCACTTTCAAAGGGATAATGATAATTACTTTTCGCTACCACTCGTCTGAAAAAAGAGCAGTGCACAGTACTTACCTTTCCAGGAGGCAAGCGAAAGGAAATGGAGCAAAATTTCCTGAAATATTAATCAAAATTACTCGCCTAGGCATGTATGGGAACTAATCTGACATATGACATCATAGAGAACTGTACATGAACAAATTCACTTTTTTTTCGTGAGCCGGAAGTAATCGCAAAACTGTCAAAAAGTTGAAGGTTTTAAGACTGTAAAATTTTACTATTTTTCACAAATTAAAGCTGCTGTCATACAATGTAAGCTAATTTCTTGACACAGATAGGCTTTTGGATTCATATTTTATCATCTGTTCGATGTCCCCCTTGGTAGTTTAAATAAAAATTGAAATATGAAGGATATTTCTCCGTGAACAAAACCACTACTCAAGCTTTCCAATGATATTTCCTCGGACATCAAAGGTAACAGCACACCAGTAGATTCTATTGTGGAACCATAGAAAACGGTAGCTGCCTGGAATAATGTGTTGCCAGTTGGGTCTCCAACTCTTCAAACTCCTTCATTTTATCACGGTACAACGATGATATGGGAGTGTCTTTATACGTTAAGTGGGTCATTCACTTGAATCTCAATACAAGGTTTGAGGGTTCGAATACCAGCCCAGCAGAATAAGTATTTGTTATTATTATAATTATTATGTTTATATTTGTTTTAGTTGTAGTAGTAATATTAGTAGTATTACTATTATTATCATTACTACTATGTGTCAACATGATATGTTACAAGATCTTTTGCTTCATCATTTGCCTCCAAGACTTAGTGTCGAGTGAATGGATTCTGCTCTTTCTCTTTCACATGAACATATGTCAAAAGAAACTCTTAAAAGTGTTGAGCTAAAAACATGAAAATTTTTCAACCGACACTACCGTGTGAGTAAAAAAAAAAAAGGTTTACACCTTGAAAATTGATAATTATTTAAAAAATCAGCTGTGAACAGTAAATTATTATACATCTTATGAAAGAGTGTTTTATCCCAAATCATTTGGTATCATTCTTGTGTGGTATGTGTTCACGCTTGGATGAACAGGAGGCATTGTTTGCGAGAGTGCAAAATTCGACTTGCGCCTAAGTGATGCCTACACCATGTATTATGTTGATATAAGCGGAGTGAGAGAATGAATTGAATGTATCAAATGAATTGCATATGCTTTTTGCAGAAGCAAAGTCACACACGCACACACACGCACAAATGTTCGTTGATATTTGATATTCGACATTTTATATGTGTATAGCATGATTAGTTTCGTTAGGGATGTTATTTGCAGAAGCAAAGTCACACACGCACACACACGCACAAATGTTCGTTGATATTTGATATTCGACATTATATATGTGTATAGCATGATTAGTTTCGTTAGGGATGTTATTTGCAGAAGCAAAGTCACACACACACACACACGCACAAATGTTCGTTGATATTTGATATTCGACATTTTATATGTGTATAGCATGATTAGTTTCGTTAGGGATGTTATTTGGATCTGCAAAAATCGATTTAATAACCGAATCCCAATTGTTCTATTTAAACATCACATAAGCAACTTCTGCGCACTCTCGCAAGCAGTGCCTTCTGTTCATCCAAGAGTGAACACATACCACACAAGAATGATACCAAATAATTTGGGATAAACCACTCTTTCATATTAGATGTAAAATAATTTACTGTTCATAGATGATTTTTGAAATAATTAGCAATTTTCTAGGTGTAAACTTTTTTGACTCACACTGTAGTTAACACTCTCCATTGCATTTATGTTTATAAAAAGTGATTTTGGGCATTTGATATCCTAAGTGGTTGGGCAATCAAATCGCCCAACAGCAGATAACCATCTTTAATATACATGTACCTTGCACCCATATGTCAATAGGCCTACTTTCAAGCATGCCAAAAAGATTATGTCTTTTAGCACTGATCATACTTTATTCAACAATATATTCTTCCAATAAATTTGCTAAATTCATTTCATAAAACTGTATTTTTTCACATCCATTACCCAATTCCGTTACCCCACCATCAATAATCTTTGATTTGAGGTGTACCTTTTGTTTTGTTATGAATGTACTATTCTAAATTACTTTTTAATACTCAAGTCTTTTGTGCGGTATCATTGTGTTATTATTTTTGTAAATTGCACTCAATTCAGCCGCTAGCCTGCCATGTGCAATGTATTTTTGTATACCACAACAAATAAATTGAACAAAGAGGCAGTTGTCCGGGTGGGGGGGGGGGGTAGTTGTTTTCTTTCCGTTATTTTCGTCATGATTAATTGTTCATGGCACAGCTTTACCTGTGATGAATCTCCTCGCTGATACCAGGTTTTTGACGCCCTACCGGACGAGTTTCTCCCGGGATACAAAAGCCCCTGCTGGGTGATACGGACCAACGCCAAGGACAATAAAATCAGATGTCTTCCGTACTTCTACATTCTTGGGACACCCAAGAGTGGAACCAGCGATCTCTGGGATAAGATCAGTGGACACCCGGACGTGATAGGGGGGATTTTGAAGGAACCGCATTGGTGGACCCGGCGTCGACTGGACGGTAAGCTATGCATGGCTATGGTCATACCTTTGTAATGATTTTTGTGTGTGTTTGTGAATGCAGCATTTATATTAGAGAAGTAGAATGGCGATAGTTTAATATAAATCGGACCTATGATATTAATAGGTTATGATTGGGTGTAATATGATATCATTATATTTCTCTGTGCGAATCTCAAATTAGATCTTCGGTCAGTGTATTGTGATTATTAGTCACAAACAACTCTACTGTTGACGTGTACACAAATACAATTTTTTGGTTTTCTTCACTATTGGGCATCTCCCTTAACTTTACGGACTACTCAAAACGTAGTTTTGGAATTCCCTTACGTAAAGTGTTTACAAAATCATAAAATTCTTAATATTCGTCCGATTTCGTTCAAACTTTCTTTCGGAGCAATTTGCTGTTTAGTTTGAATTTTCCTTCAATACGTCAAGGGATGAGCTTGACTTCTGATTCCATGGTTACACCACAACGAAGAGGTGTCGTAGTCGAGTAAATTCAAATTCAAATTCAAATTTCAATCCAAACAGATCGGATCATTCTCAATTTTTGTACAGTGGATAACACATTTCAAAGTGATAGTGTAACAATGATTGATGACTGAGATGATAGCCTATAATCTAGGCGGAGTGCCGAGCTTTTTTCTTTGCTGCTAGACTAACCCTAAACAGAACGTCTGATACGGCGAGACTACGAACCGTGAGTCGCGAAGCGGCTCACCGCCTATAATCACTGGTCGTATTCATGAGGTTTTTTCGTACGAAAAACTGCCACGGATTCATGGTCGATAATAAAAAAAAAACAACGACTAAAGCTAGACCAGTGATTATAGGCGGTGTGCGGGTGTCGCGGCTCACGGTTCGTAGTCTCGCCGTATCAGACGTTCTGCTTAAGGTTAGTCTAGCAGCAAAGAAAAAAGCTCGGCACTCCGCCTAGATTATAGGCTACTGAGATGATTGAGTGTAAGAGTAAAGATAACAATAACCAGGAGTGACACAAATTAACATACTACCGCATGTCTCATCTGAAATATAATACAGACTGTCCGAGGGATGGCAGCCCCCCTCCCCCCCTGTCGAGAAAAAAAGGGACTTGAACTTGGCAACTGACATTCTTTTTTTTCTTTCTTTTCTCTCCTTCTATTCTTTCAATCAAATTTTTTTTAGCAGGCTTCGTTGATAAAACCTTTTTGGTTTAGCTCCTATTTGTAGTTTCCTCTATATACTCTCTCCGATTGGCAGCAGTTGTATTCATATCCGTTGTGTAATTTCTGACCGTCATGGTTCAAGTGCAGTAACTTCATGACAATAACAATAGACACTTGATTCAGATATTCCAATTCTGACCTATGGGCTAATAGCGCCTTCAACTTTCATTCATTTTCACTCAATACCCCCCCCCCCCCCCTGTTTTTTCTCCTTCTACTGATTTCTCTCTCTCTCTCTCTCCCTCTCTGCATCTAGCTTTTTGCTTTCTCTCTTTCTCTCTCTCTCTCTCTCTCTCTCTCTCTCTCTATGTATACAATTTTATATATGTGTTTGTGTGTGTGCGCGTGTGTGTATGTGTGTTTGTTTGTGTGTATATATATATATATATATACGTATATATATATATATATATATAAAGTGCGAGATTTATCAACTCTGACATGACAACGGTTGTTCCAGAATATGTAGGCGTGAAGAAAATTGTCTAGGAATGTGAGATATAGCTGTACTTTACAATTGTATTACGAGCTTTCGGCTTGTGAGGCCTTCTTCATGTTCTGAAATTTGTATGCCATGTGTATTTGTTCATACAATATATTTGTTTTTGCCAGTGATTGCACTTCAGAACCTGAAGAAGGCCTCACAAGCCGAATTGTGAGGCCTTCTTCAGGTTCTGAAGTGCAATCACTGGCAAAAACAAATATATTGTATGAACAAATATGCATGGCATACAAACTTAATATCACTTAATCATAGTCAAGCATCATGAACATAGCAAATATTAATACGGGAAACATTCACATATATCACATATATCACATCAACTGAATAGACACACCGACAGCCCAACACAAGGTAGAACACTTTGATGTATTACACTTTGATATTGCATAATCATTTCTAAGTTTATTCCGAAAGTATTCATCGTACTAATTTTTGCTATGTTCATGATGCTTGACTATGATTGAGTGATATTAAGTTTGTATGCTATGTACATTAATTGTTCATACAATGTATTTTTTTAAAATATGTTTTCACGTCAGAACCTAAAGAAGGCCTCACAAGCCGAAAGCTCGTAATTTTTTCCTTCTCGCTTTCCGCCTTTCCTTTCAATATTTCATATTATGATGATGTTTCGATGACTCTGACCTTATTTTCTGTTTGGCTGAAATATGCTGTAGCGTTTGCTTTTAATTATTTCTCCTCTCTCTATCTCTTTCCTTTTCTCTCTCTCACACGCATAAACACTCTATATGATTCTATGTCTGCATATAAGTACTCTTTACACGTCGCCGCTTATTTGGATAATAATGCCTATGATGTTCCGGTAAATATCGAAATTAATTCTAAACTGTATTTCACTCCTTCCTTCACGAACTGCATGATGCATATTTTGAGCTCCCGAACTGCAGTGTGGTTTTCAATAGTATCTTTTTTCAACTTAATTCACAATTTTAATTTCTTCTTGTAGGCGTATCGTTCGAATCGTATCTTCAGGGGCGGTCTACAAAACTAGTCAATACGTTCAATCAGGATGCTTCAAATAAAGACAAGCTCATCGTAGGTACGTATGCAGGCCATTTATTTGCTCCAATTATCCAGACTTCAATTTGAATTCCTGTTAATACTTTTTAATACTCGTTATATCATCTGAATGGAATTTGCACTGTATTTCATCGCAGTTTTTCCTATGTTACAGTCAATCGAATTCACGTATCTGTATACGTCTATGACAATTATTCTCTCAGTAACAAAACAGAAGGCCTTAATTTTTTATTTTTTTTCTCGTAAGGCTTCAATGTATTTTGAATTCCTTTATTTTTAGTACACTCATCTGACATGCTAGCAATATTTTATATTTTGTATTTTTTGTATCTTTTTTTTTGGTTTTTTTTTTTTTACTGCTTTGTTGTTTTGATGTAAACATTTATTATTTTGATATATTTTTTCTCATTTGCTATGTGTTTCTTTATATATATATATATATATATATATGTTTTTGAATGCTTTTTTTTAATATGATTTTATGTTTGATGTAAACTTGCATATTTAGTCTTTGGACTTTTTGACAAGTCTTGAATAAAACCTATTTTGAATTGAATTGAATTGTCAGTTCTATTAAATAACACAAGTTATTGGACACGGGGAAGATAAAATTGGTCAAAAACAAGCTGTTTCAGTCAAAAAATACTTTACTATGGAATAAGAAAACACAAATAAGAATCTTACACACACACACACACACACAAAGACACGCATATATATATATATATATATATGTATACATATATATATGAATTAAGATATATATATATATATATATATATATATATATATATATATATCTTAATTCATAACGTTGACAGAATACACAAGCGCTTCATCATGATATGCGTGAACGTTTCGTGGTTTTCCATGGTTATATAAATTATAGGACCTTACCTCATTGTTATATCAATTATAAAAGTACGTGGACACATACTCAACACGACATGAGTGAGTTACAAAAAGAGCCATTTTCTTTCTGGTTCTTGCTAACATTCGAATAACACGGCTCGATTTGACAAATGATTTACATACATATATATATTACATGAAAAAGGAAATGAAAAAGGAAAGAATGGTTAACGTGGAATTGAGATGGAACGTAAATTGTGCTTATTGAAAAGGGAGGATGATGTAATGTCGGAAAAGAAAGGGAATTTGGGTGGGAAATGGAGTGAGGTTTTCAATAAGTAGAGAAATAGAGCGAGGGGGTTGCAAAAGGTACAATCACATAACACAGAATAGTTAAGCTAATAACTTATATACGTTTACAACGTAATGGTAAAGAATAAATAAGCGTAAATTCAACACTATTTCCTTATCAAACATAATAAGAAGCAAAGAAATTATATCATTAGAAATTCAAAAACATAATGCATCTTGATATGTAATTTTTGCAATTATAAACATAAAATTTCGATATGAGTGAGAAAAAGAGGGATATGATCAGAGAGAAGATTGTAAAGAAAAGAGAGAAGACAGAAATGATACATTTCTAGCCGGAATATAGGCAGTGTTGTGGGCATTACACGATTCAGACACTGAATTTTAATTATACAAATTGTATTAGTTTGTTTAAGTACGTCAGAACGAAAAATTGAGAAAAAATATAAAAAGGTTTTGCATCATATACATATTTATTTAATCAAACATATGTTTACAGAATAAAAACATGATTCTGGTGGGAAACAAGTAAAAGAGGTATCGGGGACAGGGGACAAATACCCCAAGCGGACCTGAAGGGGGTGCAAATAGGCAAATCAGAGGACACGCAAATACAAAGCAGAAAAAAAAAAGACAGAACAAGAAAATCATTATTTATTTCTTTTAAGGATTATATGAGCCTCAAATACGAACGGTAAAAAAACGTTAGAAAAGAGGTTTCGAGGGTTGAAAATGCGAGAAAAAATTTCACTCGGTCGCGATTCTTTTTTACAAACATTTCTTTGGGGTTTCGCACCCATATAGTATCATCCCAATAAACAGAACACCAAAAAGTAACCTCTTTTGGGAGTGTATCTTAAGTGATTTTAAAGTATAGTGCCTTTTGAACTAGATTTAAACGTTATCGACACGTGCCTTCATTTAAACAAAAAAAGGTACTCCTGTTCACGTTTTCATCTAACCTAAAAACCATCAGTTTATCACGCGACTGGAGTAACGTGATTCCACTTACCTCTGTAAATCAAGTGTTTATGACCAAATAACCACTTGACCAGCAACGAGTTTTTTGTCAGTTAACCGATGGTGGCGATAAATACGTAATTATTTGGTATTGTAAGCACCTTTATTGATTGGTTTCACAGGTTATCCAAGGTTGATGGTAATAATCACGTTACTTACACCGGCTAATCGTCTTATTGTTCTGTCCGTGAATCTCTGGTTATATTCAACTAGTAATTCTGAGGTGTCTTACACACCTCTTTAAAAGGTTTCAAAGTTACCATAAATTTCTTGGTTATGATCACGTGGCTCAAGCTGATTACTAATCTAAGCTGTGAAAACGTGATATGTAGGTGTGAAAATAAGTAATTATTAAGTGTTTTAAAACACCTATTTAAATGGTAGTCAAAGTTGCCATAAGTTCCGCGGTGATGATCTCGTGACTCAAACGGATTATTGATCTAAACTTGTCATATGTGACTTTTAGGTGTGAAAAATTAGTCATTATTAGGTGTCTTAAAACACCTATTTAAATGGTTTCAAAGTTACCATAACTTTCTTGGTGATGATCACGTAGTTAAAACTGATTACTAATCTAAGCTGTGAATCCGTGATATTTAGGTGTGAAAAATTAGTCATTATTAGGTGTATTAAAACACCTATTTAAATGGAAGTCAAAGTTGCCATAAGTTCCGCGGTGATGATCTCGTGACTCAAACGGATTATTAATCTAAGCTGGGCATACGTGACTTTTAGGTGTGAAAAATTAGTCATGATTAGGTGTCTTAAAACTCCTATTTAAATCGTAGTCAAAGTTGCCAGCAGTTCCGCGGTGATGATCGCGTGACTCAAACGGATTTTTAATATAAGCTGGGTATTCCGTGTTTTCCATGTGTGAAATTGAGTTATTCTTGGGTGTCTTGATGGTTTCACAGTTACCATTTAAGTTCCGTGGTGATAATCCCGTGACTGTTGGCATATTTCTATGTTCACCAGTTGATAACTGACTGTTGGCATATTTTCATTGCACCAGTTGATAACTGGAGTGTGCATATTTCCAGTTGCACCAGTTGATGACTGAGCGTTGGCATATTTCGAGTTGACCCAGCTGACACCAATTCATTTGCATATTGAATATGGGGTGCGTGCAGATCTATGTTTTTAAAACAATTTATCTGAATTTACAGCATATTTCTTAATTACTGATGATTTAGTTATATGCAATTCATTTCGAAAATACTACAAATATATATTACCAGTTATTAGGACATTTCGCTACTTCGTATAAATAGTTAAACATGAATAAGGGAAACATTAACTGTGAACTAAAATAATTTCAATAAAGTACAAGTATACGAATTTTGTTCGATTATTTCAATTATGTAAGTCTACTTATTACCAGTGCCCTTACATTGGAAATTCAGACGTACCAGTATTGAAGTATTGTTGCTGTTCAACTGGTTGGAAGTTTTACCAAATGGTTCTAATGGCTCAGCTAGACCAGTTGAATTATAACTGGCCTGGATCAACTGGATCATTTAGCCCATTTCAATTTCCAGGGTTACCAGTTGGCATTAAATGGTTCATCAACTGGACCAGTTGCAACTAGCTTTCACTTCTGGGATGTTTGCACCCCCTCCCCCTCACCCAACCCCCTCTAATCCCAAACTGCTTCTGGCGCGCCTGGACGTAATTATGGAAGATCCAAGACACGATGTTCAGAAACGGGATGAGAACGTCATTATTTTGGTTCATTTATTGTGTAACATTTGCGTAATTATTGGGTTGAACGCGGGTTACAGTAACATACTTCCTCTTCGACGTAAATTTCACGTGAATGAAGAACATGATTCATCTCAAGTCAGCCTCGTAATATTCACGTGAATTTCACGCATATATTTTGACTAAAACTATCACTAACGCTTCACGTGTTTCGGTGACGCGATAATTTCGTGTATGAAGATGTAATTTCATAACCAAACAAACACGGGAGTATTAGGTTTACAAACCATGGTCTCCAAGGTAGGGATAACCACGTTATTATAATGGTAATATTGCAGTGAAAATTGCGTGATTTAGTGTACGTGTGTTTTAAGTTACCTAATGCAAAAAACGTATTAACACATTTACGTAAATGTCCGGTGTTTAAAGAACGTAACTCTCCTCAAGTCGATACCTTCATATTGACGTGATTTTCACGTGATTTTGTTTATTGGGATAGCATTTAGATAACGAGTATGAAGATTCACATTTCAATGATAGAGGTGCAAGTCTCGTCGCTCTGCTACCCATTATATAAAGTTTCACCAGCGTCTTATCAAATATTGCGCCCCAATCAATAATGGAGTGATCGAAATAATATTTGAAAGAGTTAAACATTTGAAAGAAACCTTATTCCTGGACTTTATATTTCTAGCTTTCCTTAATTTTGCGCCCCAATTGATAAAGAAATGAATAAACAGAAAGGGGCTGTCACGGAGCGGCAAATTCTTGCGAACGTAGTAAATTTGGGGTGTCGCCAGGGTTCGTAAAAAGTTGCAAGCAAGAAAGTTTTTAAAATCGACACATTGAGTACCAGGAGTCAGCAAAAGGTCCTAAACATTCACAAATTTTTGCAAAGGATTGGCAAATAGTTCCTAATCTTCACAAAATCTGTCGCTAACATTTGCTTACAGTCGATAATAGTCGCCAACTGCCTTTCGCAAACACGTTCACAAACATTGTTTTACCTAGTTGTCGCTAAACATCGCTGAAAGTCGCTAAACTGTCCGACAGAGGCGCACCCTGATATTCGCCAACATTCGTCAGGAAAGTGGGCTAATCCAAAATGCGCATCGTTCGTAATGGGGCTTTCATATTTCCCCTCCAAGGAATTTGGGGGGAATTTTCGGCCGGCGTGGAGCCTACCATGGGCCCTAAGGCGGGCCTCTGGATGCTCACCTGACTGTTATTAAATGCCTAAAACCCCTGAGCTTCATGGGAAACCCCTTGACCCCGCCGGGGCTTTGCCCCTGCCAATTTACGCTCCTCTTCCTTCGCTCGCTTGGCATTACCTAGTCGTAAATACTTTAGCCCCCCCCCCCCTCACCCGCCCTACTTTGAAAAACGTTCCACGGGGCCTGCATGTAACTTAAGAGTGGGGTGATGCGGATTTTTTTCAGCCTCCCCCCCCCCCCCGAAAAAGGCCGTATTTTTTCTTTTACGCCACTGGCACTGCTCCCTCGTCCCCCGCATTTCACCCCCCCCCCCCGGTCATGAAAAGAAATCGCCGCCCCTGGCTACGTGCGACGTCCTTTTAAGGCAATGTGACGTCAAATTGCCTTAAAATGCTGTCACACGTAGCAGTCCACTATGTCGGCGTGCATATCAAAGTCCCTAGTGATTAGGAGCTCACCCTTGTCTATTCTTGTATTTATTTCAGGTGATGGTTCAGCTTCCACATTATGGGATAACCATAATTGGATGGAAGCATTCGGAGTGAGAAAAGAAGGGCCCGAATTCGTGACCGCACAAATCTTGCGTGCCGTTCAACCCAATGCAAAACTATTTGTGATATTGAGAGAACCCGTTTCAAGGTTAGAATACGTTTGTTTGTTTCATGGGTTTTTTAAGTTTAGTTTTTTTTTAATACTGAATTATAGTAATAATCTTAGAAATAATTATCTTAATAACAATAGTAATTACAAAAGTAATTGCCAAACCAATAATATGAATAGCGTAAATTGTTTTCACCCCAATGATGAATTGGTCCCTAATATGATTCCTAAAAGAGGATAAATCTTCTTTAATACATTTACAGGACAATGACAGACGGTTTCATGTATTTTGCACTCAACATTATACATATACAGTGACACGCAACTATACCAGTGGCCATGGGTGTCAATCCGAGCTTGAGCATGGGTGGGGGGGGGGGGACACAATTACATGTCATCTTTATAGTAATTGTTACTTTCAAAGTTAAACCACGTTATATTGCTACATACACTCTCTCTATATCTCTAGTTACTATATCCTGTTTCACGCCGTTTACTTTCATTGGTGACCGGTTCATTTATTGTCTTTTTTTATCAGCATTTAGTCAAGGTTTATCGATTTATAACTTGCTACTACATCTTTCATTTCATGTACAGCATCTGCCTATTTCTATCAAGAAAGTTTAAATGTATCAACGTTCATAGTTTGGCTTTTATTCCAAGAAATTTGACTGTGACCCCCGGGTTCAACAGTCCTCAATTTTAGTGTTAATGTTATGTGTTTGTTTTTAAAACCGTCTGTACTATATAATATTACCAGGTGATGGAATTTTCATTCATTTTTAGCTTGAGCAGGGGTCCATGTGGACTTATTTCTTCACACAAATAGACTTGTTAAAGCCCCATTTTCCTATTTGTAGCTACTTGCTCCCTCTATAAAGAAAACTTCCCTAATCGGTGCCTGTTGGTCCCCCATGATCCTCTTTTTCTTATGTTAATTGAGAGCTGAGTTAATGAGATAGCCACCTGTCAGTGACCTGGCTGGGTGGTCTAATCCCTTCTGGCCCAGTAGTATTGATGGTCTTTAAATACAATTTTTCAAATCTAAATTTTGATGATCAAGTTTCATCATTTTACGCCAAATCGTAATGCATGATAATGCTTGCTTGGGGATCACATATATTCAGATGATAAAACTCACTTATAACTCACTTGAACCAGGTTTATTCAGTCTTTAAACTGTTGTTCCTATCCATGGTTTCCTTTGGTTGGGGTTGTCATCATATTTTCTGGGCATCTTTGCACCAGTTCTCAAGTACAGCTTTGAAGCGATTGGTAGTGGTACTCTCCACAACATCGCCTAAAAGACTATTCCACACATTAATTTTTTCTGGATGAATGAGTTTTTGTCGTCCGGCATATTAGCTTGTAAAGCTTAAAGATAAAGTTGAGTTCAGGTCATGCGATTGCATTGTGAAAGGAACAGTGTGGAATCGATCAGAAAAGGTTGATCCTCTAGTATGTACGTATTAGTGCGTGCTGCAAGGTTCTGAAATCATCGACATGATAAGAAATTCGGCCCAGTCTTGGTAAAGTTACAAGCACTGTACACAGAAAGATTATGCGAATGCACGGTGAACATTTAGCACAAAAATTCCGTCTCGATTGTTATGATGTTACATGCCATATTTAGAATATTAAGGCATTTGAAGAGCCATGCTTTCCATTAAACATTTTGTATATGATGTTCTTCCACACATAATACAACGATAACGCTCACAAATTATTTTTCATCTCTTCCCAGAATCAACCTTCTCTTTAAAGGCCAAGTCCACTCCCGAAAATAACTTTATTTCAATAGAAGCAGAAAAATCAGACAAACCAATCAAAAAAAGTTTGAGCAAAATCGGGTAACTAATAAGAAAGTTATGAACTTTTGAAAAAGTATGTAAATCTATAGACCAATGGAATTCACTACACAAATTGCCAATTTGGTTATCAGTTTGTGACGTCGTGTCCTCACTATTTACTTATTGCCCAAAACTTGATTTCCCCATGCCTTCGCCCAGGTTATATGATTTGTATGGATGTAATTTGCTTGCTTGTTACTGAATTTGCGGGTGGTGTTCCCCCCTTGATCCGCCCCTGCGTTCTTTTTACAGTCAAGCTTGTCTATATAGTGGCCACCTTTCTACAGATGCCACCTCTCCACACATGCCACCTCTCCATAATGACCAAGTATCCCCCCCCCCCGCCCTCGACAAAAAATTGCGTGTTATAGGAGTAGGACCTGTCTAAAAAGGTTATCTGTCTACAGTGGCTACTAACTAACCATTTATCTCGACCCCCGTGTCGTTACTTTCGTTGATTCATTTTTTTGTTGGTCGTTGTTTACAGACTGTACTCTGGCCACCTATATTTCCACCGCAAGCCGCATCCGGGACGATTTCATAACGACTCGGTGGAGACCATAGCCAGGTTTCACAGATGCACTGCTACCTTGAGCGCCCGCGCGTGTGCATACACAACCTCGCAACAAAAGGGCGTGGTAAGTATGCCAAGGGTGACGACTATTCAAGAATCGGGCCTATTTCATTTTGATCTCCACCACACCAACGCTACATCCCCGTACTTACGGCGGTCCTCAGGCTGGGCTGGTGTGAGCATAATTATGAGTTTGTGGATAACGCCATCTTCGACGGCTCGAACCAAGTGTGTAGGGAATTATAAAGGACCGGGCAGATTCTGGACTAGGTGACAGCCGATGTATGTCCTCTCCGAGGAAATTTAACCATTTGGTTTTAAACCCTGGACATTCAGTTTTTAAAAACGAAACCATTGCTCTACCACTGACATGTCTTGCTACCTGGATCTGTTCGCAACTTCAGTACGATACTAACTGTGGGAATTTCGTTTATCTTTGACTTTAATTGGTCGAGTTTCAATTAAAGGGATAGTTGAGTTCTTGTTTAGACCGCAAATGCCTTCAAAGTGCATGGTATTGCTCTTAATATTCATGACATTTCTCGTGCCCTTTTAGGACCTTAAATTGCTATGAAGGTAATTTTAGGTCCCAACAAGTGTGAAATTTAGCCAATACGATTATACCAATTCAGCTCTATTTTTAAAAGAATACGGTGACCGTTAATTAATTAATAATAACAATACATGGGCCGGCGGGCTGTGCATATTATAACCAACACGAAAAAGCCTATACAAAGCCAAGATCGTCGGCATTGGCTAAAATAAAACGTATAAGGCGTTATTTCGTTTTTTAACGGCTGGTTCAAATTATCTAATATTTGTGGTGGTACACAAATATTAGAAATAGTTATATTTATGAATATTTCAGCCGTCTCTAAACCGATTATAATCAAACAAAGATGATTCTGTCATTTAAATTGTATGTTCTTTCAAATATGACACTCAATTTGTTATTATCTCACAACAAAATATTTTGTGTAGCGCCCTCTGCAAAAGAACTCAACTATCCCTTTAACTATATTTGCTTGAATGTTGAGAATGAAAAATGAAAAACAAAGTGTCAATAAAGTATCAACAGTAATAATAATAACAATGGCTAAATCTGTAATCGTGTTAAAACGATGTAATGACGTCTGCGTTTGCCGTTAGAGGACGTGATTGTAGCGATTTTGTAAAACAACAAATTCGGATGAAGTTGGGACTATTTTAAGGAGCAGGTCGTATTTCTGTATTGGGAAAAGCTTCACTATTACTATCTATAGCAAGTTGTAAGAAGTCTCTAGCATGTCGGATAGTGAAGATAGATAGGTACATAAATACGGCTAAACGGACTGAAATGGCACCAATAGCAGTAAAAATGATAATAATAGTGATTGTAAGAACAAAAATAGTATTTCATAATCATAAAAAGTGATTATAACAATAAGCAGAAGAAGAAAAACGAGAAGGAGAACAAAACCGAAAAACTAGAAAAAGAGTTGGTAAATTTTTTTCTCAAAAGAACTCTTACGCCAAGCAAAAAGAAATTAAAATAAATTGAATATATATATAGACTTATGTAAATAAAGACATGCTCACTTGGAGTTATAAAGAGTACTATTATGATATTAATGATAATGGATATTAATAATGAAGTAGATGATGGGAAACATATACCATTGTTCCTTTTAACCTACGCCACTGACACTTCAAGTAAAACGACTTACTTTACTTTCATTTTACCTAGCGTCTCAACATCGGTTTATACGCCATTTACATCAGGGACTGGTTGAAGGTTTTCCCACGTGATCAGATGTTTATTCTACGACTTGAGGACTGGCATGAGGACTGCACGGAAATTTTACCAAATATCTACGCATTTTTAAATCTAAGTAAGCCAACCACAATATTATATTGTCGTTCAATAGTGTATATATATATATATATATATACATATTGACTTGTAGGGTGTGCATTATTATAAAAATAATACGCAGCAGGGAGGGCGTTAGTAAGAATTGCCCACACTTTTGAAACACACAGTATCGAAGGTACCGAGCTCGGGGGGGGGGGGGGTATTCACATATTAGGATATATGGGGTGTGCCGCTCTAATGAGTCACTTTTTCACAAAAATCCCTATACATGGGTCCCATTTTTAACAAACTACCATTAAAAACGGATCCGTCCAAACATGCAAACACCCCCAAAACAGCCGAAATTTGTGAAGATTGGGTCTTTTATCGAGAAAAATGCCCCCAAATGCCCCCTTGTGATGGGTAGGTGTTTCGAGGCTTTAGCGGCACACCCCCTCGAAACTGATTACCCCCCCCCCCCCCCACCCTGGTACCGAGTATATCATGCGTTTTATTGACCGGTCATTAGTTAAATTACGTGTTAGGCAAAATAAATGCTTGGTCACGTGTACGCTCTAAACCCATCACTTGATTAGGATCCGCTTCATCATCTTAAAATATAAAATAATTGCGTGCTCCGGCGTGAAATATTATAGATAAAGTGACTGCTATGAGAGGAATAGTTGTTTTATAGGCTCAAGGGGACGTTGCATCCTGATATCACTCGAGGCGTGCCGAGGGGTGAAAGCAAGATGCAACATCTCCGAGAGCCTATACAACAACTATTCCTCTCTGAATCATGAAGGTTTCGCGGGCATAGATTACGGCGCGTGGGGGTACGCACACTTGTTCTGACACCGCGGACCCCCCCAAAAAAAAAAATTCCTGGGCAATGTGGCAAGGAAAATCGGCTAGAACATAAAAACAGGCAGAAGATGGCAGCAAGATTTGGTATCAACTTAAAGCTTAGACATCAGAAAAAATGTTAATAATACAATTAAAGTGGAAATTCCTGGAAATCTAAACATTTCCTCTGGATTTATGAAAAAACATGGATAATTAGTCCATTTTTCAGTGAATTACCCTATAATATATTATTAAGATTGTGTATCTCGTGCAGCCTCCGCACGGAAATCGTACGGAGCCCGTGCAGCTTCCGTGCAAAGGTTGCGCGGACAAGGCGCGGTGACCGTGCAACCACCGTGCCGTTTTTAAGCGATCTCTGGCCTCCATGTTCACCGAAAAATCGTGCGTTTGCTGCATGATCAGCGCTAAGTCCTCCGTGCGATGCCCGTGCCGGAATTGTGCAAGGACACATACGACATGTCTACGGACTACGGGCTTACGATTTTTCAAATTTGTATAACTTTCTGCGAAAAAAATCGTAGAGGCCGCAGAGCCCTGCGGAGCCCGTGAATCCGTACGAAAATCTCACGGCCCTCTTCTGCCTCCGTACGGAGGCCGCACGGAAAAGGGGATACGGGCAGGATACGGGCTCCGTAGACTAATCGCAGGCCAAATGTAATCTAGGCATATGTGACCGCTACCGTTTGTGACTGTGGGAATGCTGCGGCGGTCCTATAATTGGTATAGGTCGTAGATATTTTAGGCCGCACGCCCGCCGCGGCAAATGTGACCTAGGCATTTGTGCTGGTATTTTGCGTCGCGTTAACTGTCCAAATCGAGCAAAACTAATTAATATAGTAAGAGCTGTCTAATATTCAATGTTACTAGGCAACCATGTCGTAAACTACCTATTAACAGCAACGATATGTGGGTTGGTATGAGAAGAAGCGGGGGATACTTTACATGTATTTATCGCATAATTATGTCCATAATATTTACGATTAAATCTTTAAATGAAAAAACAATCATGAAAATAAACAACCTGAACAAAAATCTGACACAAAGTGCAAATATATATTGTATGGGCAAATGACTTAATAATAAACACCCTCTCGCGCTCTCTCTCTCTCCTTCGCTCTCTCTCTCTCTCTCTCTCTCTCTCTCTTTGTTTTGTTACAATGTTATTGTCGAAAGGTTTTGTGATTTGTTTATGTACTTTTGAAAAAATGTATGATTCATATCTTTTGTGTTCTATTCGCAGAAAATTTATCGGAGGATAAAATCATGGAAATCTGTCAGTCTCGAACTATTAATACCAACCTCAGAACTGCGCATAAAGTTGGAGACATGTTCAATGAAACGCGGACGATTCTTCAAGAATTCTATTCAGGGTGGAACCAAGAACTGAGTGAATTACTGGGGGATGAACGCTTCCTGTGGCACTAATGGTGAAACGAAAGAAGGCACTCACCTTTTTTTTTACTCCGGAAGGTTCGTTTTTCCAAAGGTTCAAAATTCCGAAACCCAAATTTACTTATCAAGGGTTTCAAAATTCCGTTAATTAAAAAGGGTTCATAATTCCGAACATTTTGTTGCATTATTTTGAAGGTTCGTTTATCTGAAGTTTCATTAGTCCGAAAATGAAGTAGGGTTCATTATTCCGAAGTTGGTAGTTACAGAATACGATATTGTTCTATGTAATTGTTGGGATTACAAGCCCTATTTCATTTTCGGAAATACGGACCTCCGGGATGATAATACTTCTTCGGGTTAACAAACCTCCAGAAATATGAGCCTTCGGAATTGGGACCATTCGGAATGATGACCATTCAGAGTGATGAACCTTCGGAATTACGTTCGTTCGGAATATGAACCTTTGGAAAACGACATGTAACCTTACGAAATTAAGTCTCAAGCTCAACAATAATACCAGGGTAGAAACTTTGAGACTTCATCCAGAATTTAATTTAGTTTTTCGTGTTTCGTGTGAGTTGTTTTGTCTAGTGGACTGTGGATCAAGAGATACGTGGTTCGAGATATTATACAATTCATTTTAAATAGACTTTGTAATTCATTTACACGTAAGAAAAAACAGTTGCTGCATTTTTGCGGCGGTCTACAACACTATATCTGTACAAGCCTTAAAGGTAATATGTCTCATTTGCAGGCCCCCAAAAAATGAAAAGGTTAAATTCCAACGGCATTTGAAAGATAATACTAATTTAAAACTTCCCCAAAGGGGGGGGGGGGGCTTGAAAATGTCTTTAAAGGTAAAGACCAGTTATGGTCATGCGATTGCATTGTGAAAGAAACGTTGTGGACTCGATCAGAAAAGGTTGATCATCTAGCATCTAGCAAGGTTCTGGAATCATCAAAACAAAATGATAAGATAATTTGGCCCATTCTTCGTAAAGTTACAAGCACTATACACAGAAAGATGTATATGGGACTACCCTATATCTCTCACAGACCATGAGAGAAACAAATTTACCAAATACATGAATTAGTAGGCGGTTTCCCGGCAAATTTTGTATCATCATGTATTAGTCAAAATATATTCTTTCACATGATTGGTAATGAGAGCTTTTATTTCATTTTTTGGAATTGGGGCGTTTCCAGTACTGGTCTTTACCTTTAAGTGGGACAATTTGATGTTGGCTGCAAAAGGAACATAGTAACTTTAATGAGGGCACACGATGCGCACTTGTGCGGGGACTTAAAATCAAGTCCTCGGGTCATTAAAAGTATAATATAAAGACTATTGAAGTATTCATTAAAGATAAACTCCAGTTCTGGTAAAAAAAAATTTTAAAAATATATATCACAGAATCAAACGAAACTTTACACTGAATGTTCAAGATTACAAATAAATGACATGTGCCAAACAATTTCGGAAGAAAATGTATACTGGCTGAGTAATGAGCATAGAAAGACAAGGAAATCAAGGTAGTACTAGCCCCGACACCATGTGTGTTGTCCTATATATAGCTTTCTGTGTACAGTGCTTGTTACTTTACCAAGACTCGGCCAATTTGTTATGATTTTGATGACTCTAGAACCTTGCAGTGCACACCAAAACTTACATGCTACATGATCAACTGTTTCTTATCCATTCCACACCTTTTCTTTCACAATGCAATCGCATTACCAGAACTCACCTTTATCTTTAATGCGCTATATGAATGTAAATTATGAACATGATGAAGAGGAAGGTAATAATAAATTATTATTATTACCATCATCATCATCATCATTTGTATTAGTAGTAATAGATGAGTCAACGTCGCAATTTATTGTTTTACTGTATGCAAGAAGCCACCATTATTATTATTATTATTATTTGGAAATTCCTTTTTATTGTATACGGGAACATGTTTCATTATTTATATAGTCGAGTCGATACTTTTATTTATTATACATACTTTGTATATAGCCATTGGTCAATCGATTTGTACAAATGTCCATTCATTCTTGTCAGATTTCATTCGAACGAGTCTCACCAGGCAGTCCGCTGCAGAATATGAGACTCAAATAGGTCTTTGTGCAATCCATTTCAGGGTTTAATAAATTTTGTTTAAAATTTTCCTAACAGGGCCCGGGAGAATCAATATTTCTCTCCAGTCCTATGTATTGAACTTTGTGTAAACTTACCTGTTTCTCCGTGCATGTGAACTTTTCTTGAAGACTCTTCTGCATTCATTCCAACCACGTTTAGCTAGCATTAAAGGTAATACAAAGTTTTGGGAAATTTTCAAAATTGGGTGGATAGTGATTTTTTACAATTTTGATATATTTGGATGCCCCTGTGGATGTATTATAAGCACTAGAAAATTTGGCCCCTAAAACACTTCTGCTTTCGAGAAAAATTAATATAAAAAATTACCGGTGCTCCCGGTAAATTTTGATGAATTTCAAATAGCGCCTACGGCCGTATAATGGTAGCTGCGATCATGAAAATCTCAGAATGTGTAGTTGTGATATATAATTTCCAAACGGTAATAGCTAATCGGTCGATTTTAGTCAAGAAACATTGTTTTATAGCTTAATCAATATCTTGATCTTGAGAGGGAGCTATACAACATACAGAGTTTATTGTTTACAATTTCATAACAGTAGACTCGATTTCAACCGCGACAACGATCACTGATTATTGTAGGATTGCATATGCTTCCAATATGTTCATTTGAACCAAATTCATGACCCCATACCAGAACTTGTATTACCTTTAAGTGAATAATGGGTCTCTCATTATTCTAAGAGCAATATAGCTATATACGAGAAACCATTGACAATGTTTTGAGCATTCTTATTGTGATATCTTGAAGTTTATATCATTTGCTCATGACGCCAATATTTTTCTTAAAAATAAAAATGTAAAAGAATTCAACTCTGTCATTGCTATATTATTATGAAATTTTAAATCAGTGGTTTCTAGCTAAAAAGTTGATCGTAAACATAGAAAAAACAAATTCATGATCTTTTGAAATATGCATATTGAAATGATTGATGTTAAACCCTGTATTGATAGTATAAATATATAAAATTAATAATATTAATTTATTAATTTATTTATTAATAAATTATACAGTTTTATTAGTAAAAACTGTATGATTTTGACAATGATTTATTCCTAATAGATCTAGATAATAGTATACATTCTCAGATTTTATTGAATGACAATTGGGGGGCAACGTCGATCTGGCGCTGCTCAGTGGCTGTCGGGCTCACGATCAATTGGGGAAAAAAAAACCGTTTCGGTTTAATAAAATTTGGAGTGGACTATTAGGCTATTATTATTATTATTATTTTATTTTTTTGCGTGACTGCTAAATCATGTGTGTGCTACTATGCTAATCAACTAAGGGACCTACGTCCTTAAGTCATAACAGACAGTAATGTGGATTAATGCCTCATAAAAGGGCACTAATATAGCACATCGACACGGTTTTGATCCTGGGGGCTCACAGTAACAAGGCCATTGACTGTACGCAGCGGGCGCTAGGGTACGTCGACGCCCCCACAAAAGCAAAAAAAACAAAGAAAATGCAATAAATTGTCAATAATTCATTACATTTTGCCCCGACCCCCAACATAACAAAATCTTCTATGTGGGCATGCCTTGAGCCATAATGCATGTCCCTACAGAGGAATTTTTCCTGTTTAGGGACTGGGGAAAATACATATTAGTGCCCTTTTGTGGGGCATTAATCCTCATTACTGTCATTTATGACTTAAGGGCGTAGGTCCCCTAGTTGATAAGCTAACACATGCTTTAACAGTCACGCAAAACAAACACTGGCAAATTATTATTCAATAAAATCTGAGAATGTATACTATTATCTAGATCTATTAGGAATAAATCATTGTCAAAATAATTCCATAAATTGGGGTAACAAAAAATATTCCATCTTTATGAGCAACAGTGTAAGTGTAACAAGTATCTTCTTAGCAGCTTAATGAAATTGCGATAAAGGATAATTAGGATGATTACAAACTCTGATTTCGGCAGTCATTCCACGTCACTTCTTAAGACGGGCATGGTGGCTCAGTGGTTAGAGCGCCCGCCTCATGAACGGGGGGGGGGGGGGGGTCGTTGGTTCGAACCCCGGCCGAGTCATACCAAAGACTTATAGCTAGGCGCTCAGCATATTACATTGGAGAAGGGTAGTAATAACATGTTATGTTATGTAGGGCCCGCTGGAAGAGTAGTTGCATAACTGAAGTGGCTACCCTGGGTAAATAAAAGATTATTATTATTATCTCCACAACTACAATTTAAGTATTTATGTTGGCGTATAATTATTTTAAAAAACTTAGGCCTACCCAAAATATTCAACTCAATTTTTAAAAAAATAACAATTTGTATAATACTAGTTGATTATTGTTGAACCTCATTCTTTAGATAAATAACAACGTGCAAATGACTCCTTTTATGGAATAAAATCACATTACACATAAAAAACACCAATTCGTTAAAATCTTTCACGAAATGCAAGTTAAGATACACGTACTTTAGAGGTTCCCGACCAGTGGCGTACGCAGGGGGGGGGGGGGGTTTGGGGGTTCAAACCCCCCCCTTTGGTATTTTTATGTGTGTAAACCCCCCTAAAAAAAAAAAAAAAAAAAAAAAAAAATTATACCCACGGTTAACCTAAAAAAGGTGCCCTTACCCCCCCCCCCCCCACCAACGAAGAAAAATGTCAAATTTTGAATTTTCGAGACCAAAAAAAAAAAAAAAGTGTCCGCTTGCCCCCCCCCCCCCCCCCCCCCCCCCCCCCCCCCCCCCCCCCCCCCCCCCCCACTGAGCGACTTTTCGGCCGGCGCGATTTTCAAATTTTCGGGAGCAAAACCCCCCCCCCCCCTTGAAAAAATCCTGCGTACGCCCCTGTTCCCGACATAATAAGCATTTTATGCTATTTTCTGGTCTCGTTTATGCTTAAGATCTTTGTTAAAGATGCAGTTATCATTGTTATTATTTAAACGTTTGGATAATAAATCTCAAATGAATTTTAGGTATTATTCGTTAGTTCGTTCGTTCGACCTTCTTACGGGCAGGTAGTCCAGAATCTTCCCGGTTCTTTATAATTCCCGACACACTTGATTCAAGCCGTCGAAGATGGCGTTATCAACAAACTCATAAATATGCTCACCAGCCCAGCCTGAGTTTCGCCTGGCGTCCTAATTTAATGATCACGCCAT